CTGGGTCGAACATGTATTCCATAACCTCGTCACAAGGCGACGTTGGATGCCCTTGTGGAGTGGGGTAGGAGAAGGTGGTAGGGGAAGGGGGTTAGGGGGGAAGTGGAAGGTGAAGTGTTTGAGAGCGGCGGTGGGAGGAGGAGAGCGGAAGGGTAGGGGTTAGGGGTAGGGCATGAAAGTCACGACAGTGACTTTGATGAAAGGGGGGAGACATGTCCCGCGGGGACAAGTGGGCTGTCGGTTGGTTGTTGGTGCAATCAGCAATTGTGGATGTGGTGAAAAGAGGGATATTTTCGGCACGTGGCGTGGTGTGATACGCGACAGTGCGAGACTTGGAAGTGTGAGAGTTGCTGTTGGTTTACTTTTTGGCTCCTGTCTCTCCTCTGCTCTCTTCTTCCCCTCCTCACCCTTCTTCCCCTCCTCAACTTCCCCTCCTCAACTTCCCCTCCTCAACTTCCCCGCGGAGCCCTCCTCAACCCGTGGAGCCTCCCCTCTTATCGCCGGCCCAGGGCGGCTAGACAGTTCCAGCACTCATCCAAATTCTCTCAACTAACATCGGATTGCAATTCTGGAAATAAATTGCAATCACATCAAAACCCGGCCGCAAAAGTCGCCATTGCTACACGCCAGTAGCGTACGCTGCCTCCGCGCCATAACGGCGAAGACAGCGGAGGCCATATGGAGGGCATGCGCCTGGCACGTCTACCCAAGGGTACCCAAGGGTACTTGTACTACAAGTGTCGTGCAAGTGAAGATCACACGCCGATCGTCGTGTCAGACGTGGACACCTGTAGCACGACAGCAAACCAAAAACGTAGGTACAGTAAGGTTGTCCGTAAAATAACGCCTTGTTTTTTCCATTTGCCTACAACTCTGAGGGCCTTTCTCACTGGATGTACAGACCCGAGTTTGAAAAATCCCACGCGTTTTGCGGACCGACCTCCAGCAAGGTACCTGCCCGCAACAAACGAAGTCCTGCTCCATCGTTGTGCCGCCCGACGGATCACGTGCACCTGCGCAAATACTCGCAGAAGCGAATATTGTAGCTCGCCACAAGGATAGAATGGTTGTCAGTCGAAAGGGAGATGTGATTCGTCTTCTTGACAGCCTGAGGGGGGCCGTTTGGAGAGGACCGCTCTTTAGAAGCTTCTACTTGTCTATCTTTCACCGTTGCTTCGGCGGCATCTGTGGCAGGTCCTGTCCCGCCTTCATCCGTTGATGCACTCTGGGTAGATGAAGTGATAGGGGCGTCCATGACGCAAACCGGTACGACCCGTGCAGTATGAGACTCGTTTGTGCTGGGGAAAGAGCGGAAAGCCCACTTCGTTCTCCTTCAAGACGGGTCGATCCGGCATTGCTGTGATCAGGTGGATGTGAAACTTCTGGAAAACTCACATGCCCGAGTTTTCGCCAAACGCGTTGTTTGAAAATTTTGCGTTCAGAAAAGCCGAGCAAACTCGCCGCCAAAACAAGCGTTTTCGTGACTTTACGGACAACCTTCATGTGTCACGTCTCGATTGGCTGACGGTTAGAAGCCTGGAAATGTCCCTATTTCTGGATGCACCTGACAGACCGCACACGTGTAGAGATGACAAAAGCAGCATAAATAGGAAACTGTGGAAGGCGAGAATAAAGAAAGGAGGAGCATCGTTCCCACAGGTTATGAGCCCATACGCCCACGACAGCGATCAAATCCTCACCACCCCCTACCACCTCTCCCCAGCCACCACGGCTTCCTCCACCACTAACCGACTCCGCCGCTTACAACGCCGCGCAGCACAAGCCGAAGCAACCGCAGAAATACAAGAGCTACTCCGCCTAGCTAACCTCAATCAATCAGACGACCACTGCCCACTCGACTCAACAAAGAACGCCATGGACAACTACAGCAACAAGATCCAGCTCCCAACCCTCGACCCTGACAATCATAACACTTGGAGCCTTGCTCTCCGTGCACAAGCAGCGGCTATGGGAGCTCAAGCACATATCACCACCAATCCTCCTCCCCCGACAGATCCCGCCGCCCTAAACACACACATCAGACACAAAAACACAATATTGGCTTCAATCCTCGCCTCTGTTCCCCAATCGATCCTTAACCTCCTCATCGAACCCGATTCCAACCCAACTCCCCACGATCTCATCCAAGACATCCACAAACACCTGGAGACAAACACTTCCGAAGACCACAAGTTCTTGAAATCACAGGCAGAATCCACCATCCTAACCCCTGACATGTCGATCACTGACTACGTCACAGCCCACGAAGCCATCCGATCAAAAATGATCGCATCTAGATTCCCTGATATTGGTGATCAATCTACCACGGTTGAGTTTCTGATAGACGGTATGCGTCACCACCCCACCACCGCTGAAATCGGCAGACAACTACTCAGCTTAAACCCCAAGACGATCAATGATTATTTGCATAAGTATATGCGAATCCAAAACTACAATGCTTTCACTCGCCAAATCATACCCACGCCCCAGGGCATGACACCGAACAACCACCCTGCCCAACAACAGCACACGCCATACCGCCAGCCCCGCACATGGAACCGCACTCCGCTCCCACCCCACCCCAACCCGTGTCAATTCCATGTCGCCAGGGGCACACGCCCGCAACACTCAGACCTCGAATGCAACCATCCAGCACACCCACGCCACCGCGCAGCACAACCCTCACAAACACCGAAAAAGACGAGACACACATACGCTCGAGCCCGTTTTACACAACCTGCACCGCCTTGCAGCCCACAATTCACCCCCAACCTGAACGAAGCCAACAACAATTCCGACAGCGACCTGAGTACGTACACACTGGACTCCGCGGCCCATCCCACACACATCACACACCCCACCCGAGAAATGAACTCTCTAACCCGACCCCTCCACACACGCACTGCTTCCAACCAACTCCTCCCCGCCACGCATTCCGGAAAGATGACGATCAACTTCAATACACCCAAGGAAAACGCCACCATCTCCCTCCCAGCCATAGCCACGCCACAGATCGAACATATCTTCATTTCTGTCCACGACCTGGCAAAAACATACGGACTAGTGCTATTCACTGCAGAAAACGGATACGCAATCAATGTTAAAGACCCGTCACAACCCGACATATTAGCCCACGCACCATGGAAACATGGAAGCTACTCCTTCAAAGCGACGAACGCTAACGCGCCCTCAGCACTCACAGCCCGAGCGCACCAACGCCAACCAAAACCCAAAAACAAGAACCCAACTACCCCTCAAACCACACCGCAACCACCCATCCATCCCGGTCCAACAGCTCCCCCGCCTAAAAAGACAACCAATGCCCCACCACGCACACCAACGACCATCTTAATAAACAGACTACCCGCGACACGAATCCGCCAACACTACGACCCGACACCACCCAAACCATCCACCACACTTGAGCACACCTACCAAGATTGGCACATGAAGCTCAACCACATCGACCCAAGGACCCTCCAGCTCATGGCGAAAAACAAAACCATCTCCATACTCCCGCACTCCCTGCGGAACCCTCCTCCACCCATCACCTGCTCTGCATGCCACACAGCAAAACAAAAAGCACGCCCACACCCCCGCACAGAAAACCCATATGAAATCGGAACATATATAAGCTCCGACACCTGTGGGCCAATCAACCCGAAATCACGCCACGGCAACAACTACTTCATGACATTTATCGATGCACGCAGTCGCTACCTTTTGGTGTACTTCATGCCCAACAGAAAGCTAACCGCCACCATCATTCCATCTGCGCTACAACTCATCGAACACAACAGCCCCAACCCCATCAAAATCTACAGAACAGACAACGCGAAAGAATTCCAAACGAAGGCACTCAAAACCATATACGAAAAAAAGGCATCACCTACAAGTCAAACACCCCATACCAGCCGCAAGAAAACTCCCGAGCAGAACGCATAAACCAAACGCTCATGCAAAATGCCAGATCTACACTTAATCACTCTCGCCTCGATGAAACTCACTGGGAAGACGCAGTGAGAGATGCAATATTCAAATATAACATCATTTATCACAAAAGCCTATGCGCATCGCCACACCAACTTTGGTACAACGAGACACCGAACCCCACAAGAATATTTACCTTTGCCCAGCTTGGCTTTGCACCAATTCATCAAAAGAAAAAGAAACTGGAACCACGAGCCTTCCCCGCGAGGTACATGTATGCCATCAACATGTCTCAAATTATGGTGATGGACATACGCACCCAAACCTACCACCAGATACGAGCCATTGACTTCTCCCCATACAAGCACCAACACGACCCCACGCTCAATCCCATCAACGCATTCCATACACACATGCCTACCACAGAACCACCCACCCATCAGCCACAAGCAGACAACATAACCCCATCCATGCCGAACCCGAAATCCCTTTCCGCCGCTCGCAAATACCCGGACGCCCACCTCTGGGAAACAGCACACAACGATGAATTGGACAATCTCGACAAAAACGGAACTATCAAATGGATTCCAACCGAGCAACTCCCGGATAACGCAGAACTCATCCCGTTAATGATGACCGACCGATATAAACGGTCAGATGATGGAAGCATCAGAACGCGAAAAGCACGATGCGCAGTACGCGGCGACCGCATGACTCCACACAAACACTACGATCCATTACAAACCACGTCATACATGGCTGAAAAGGCAACCATACGCACATTAATCGCCATCTCAGCCGCCTTCAACCAGCCCTCAGAAACGTTCGATATCACCGCCGCCTACCTGCACGAAAAATATAACCACGATCAACCAGTCCACATCAGACAGCACCCAAAATTCAACGGATC